AAAGAGAAAATACTTTTACAGTACTGTACTATATTTATCGAAAAAAATCTGTGTGTAAGTGGACCTGTGCAGTTAACGCTCCCGTGTTCAAAGATTGACTGTAATTGCTTCTGCCAGAGCCAGGAGGGAGAGATGAATAAGGATGCAATAAGCACTCAGTTAATGCCTCTGTTTCTTTAATGAAATGAAAACATTCAGCAGGAAGGAAACATTTCAGGTGAGGTTTGAAGGATTAACAGGCAAAGTGGAGGAAAAGTATTCCAGGTAGTGAAGTGAAGTAGCAGGTAAATGAGTACATGTGGGTGTGTTTGGATAACCACACCTAGTCCTTTTTGGCCATGAGTGTGAGGTGCAGGGCCAAGCAGTGAGGGGAAGGATAGTGAAGGGGTCAGCAGGGCCAACTCTCTCAGGGTTTCACAGTCTGCCTCATTTACCCCACTCTTCTATGACACAGCCCCACCTCCGCCCACCAACTCTGAGCTCCTGAAGGCAGGGTTCTCTGGGCTTCAGATCTGTGCCCCCAGCCTGGTGCCAAACACAGCAGGGGCACCGGAAATATCTGTGAATGAAGGATATGCCAAATCACTGTGTGTTTGGGGCTTCTCTCCCTGGCCTAGTTTGTGCGGTTCCAGAGCAGCAGTGTCCTGTCTCAGGAGGAAGTGGGTCATGTTCTGCAAGGCGCAGCTTTGGCTGACCTCTCTACCCTGTCAAACACCACACTCCAGGCTCTGCGTGGCTTCTTCCTGCAGGTGGGTGGGAAGGGGATGCTGGGTAGCCGCTGTAAGGCCAGACTGTCCATGCCATCTTCTCTGCGGAGGAGGCGTGCTCTGGCCACAGCAGCCATGGCAGGTAAGGAGTGCAGAGGGTGGAGGGTTGAGAGGGCCTGTATGGAGTGGCTGCTGAGAAGGCCTGTCTTCCCTGCCTTCTCTCCTCAGGTCCAGAGCATGGGTCTTCTGGCTGATCACAGCACGGCCCAGACCCTGCAGGCCTCCTTAGAGGGCCTTTCCCTGAGCACCTCCTCCACCCAGCCACCCCTGGACATGCTGTATCCTTTCTTGCATCTGGGAGCCTTGGCCTGGGCAAGGTCACCCACGCTATGGGAGGCTGTGGCATCATGCTTCAGAGGGGTGACAGTGTCTACAGCTCTGTCCTTTAAAGCATTTGCATCAGTGAGAATAATAGTGGATAGTAATGACACTGACTTACTCTGTTTAAGTTCCTACCAAGGGCCACGCACATTACTTGTACCATGTCTAATCCTCACAGAAGCTAGGGCTGTTAACGTAGGTATAACTTACACCAGAGAGGTTAAATGATGTGCCCAGGATCACACAGTAATAGCATCAGGATGTGACCCCCATGTGTCTGTCTCCAAAGCCACATCACCAAACTCAGGAAGGAGCCAGTCCTTCCCCAAGAGCTTTGGAGAAAATTGCCCAAACCCAGTTGATACAGGTGCTTCCCTCCGCCCAGTGGGGGGTGCTGGCTGACTGACCTGTCCCTAAGAAAGCCTGGGGCTGTGGGCAGTGGCTAGAGGCCCTCTGGGGGTGGTTGTGGTGCTCCAGAGACACTCGAGTCTGGGTGCTCAGTCTGGTGCTTCCTCCCCATCCCCACTGGCTACCTCCCTGGCTCTCCTTCCCTGGTGCCTGAAACAGTTCCCTGTTGAATACCTACCCTGGTGTTTGGGTCCCAGATTTAGAATTCAGCCCACTATTCCTAAGAGCACCTTTGGGCTCTGGAAGTGTGGTTCTCCCACGGTTGGCTCCACCTTTCTGCATTTTCCTCTCATGTTTTGCTGCCAGTTGCCTGGGAGGGGTGGCTGTATCCGTATCCCACATCAGAGACTGACCCTCATAACTTGAAGGCCCAGAAAGAGAGGACTAAGACTTGGAGAAGAGAAAGTCAGAATTGTTGGGGAAATGGATGACAAATGTAGCCACTTACTCCACTGTTGAAATGGAGTCAGGAAATAAAATGATACACTCACATGTCTGTGGGCTCCAAAAACATTTCTGTCTCAACTTATCTTGGCTCCCTGGAGCTGGTAACTCTGCCACTGGGATAGTGGATTGCTACAATGAGGAATGGATGGCCTCCTCAGGGACAGGGGATGGGATTTGTTCTGGTAACATGTAAGGAGCACCAGCTGGCTGCCTCAGTTGTACCCAGAAAATACCAGTCAGGCCATCCACGGGGCTGGAAGTGCAGAGAAAGGCCATGTGTGTGGTACCCGTGTGATCCAAGTGCTCTGAGAGGCACTTTACCTGCTGCCTCACCTCAGGTGAAGGTGGAGAGAGGTACAATTTCCAGGCAAGGAAGCTGAGCAGGTCAAATCCTTCTGTGCCTCGCTAGCTGAGCCCAACTGTTCCCTGGCTAAAGTGGGTACCTTGTGTTTCTTTCCGTGGGCCCTCCCCAGAGCTTGTGTTTGATTACCACGTGTTCTTTTAAGATCTGCTCTCCACAACTGTGCCTGCCTCCTGTTCCCAGCTCAGCCCACTGCGCCTCTGGCTCCCTGTCCGCCTGCCGAGCCCCCTGTCCCCGCCCCCCACGCACCTGGGTGCCGGTACTTGGGCAGCCCACCCTACTCCTCGGGCTTGGTTGTACGGACCCTGCACAAAACTGGCCTGAACTCCGTCCTAAGGAACGGGTAGGGAGGCCCCTGACGAACTAGGTTTAGAAGCTGGTGGACTGGAGAGGCGAGCAGGGGATGCACCAACTTCGCACTGCCGATTTCTTAAAAAAAGAAAAAAAAAACTGCTAGTCGTGACCCACCAAACTGATCCTGTCAACTACAGTTTAAAAGACACTGTCAGCTGATGAAAAGTTTCGGTCAGGGCCCCAGTCCGCAGAGGCGCCCTTTGCGTCGGGCCCAGACTCCCGCAGACTTAACTTCCTCCAATCTGACCGTGACAGGGTGACAATCGCGCCCCGGCACAAGGTGGGCGGGACTAGACTCCGGTTTACGGAGCTGCGGGCGGGGCGGGACCGGAAGTGAGGTCAGCTGAGGGGCCGTCGCGGCTCGCGCTCATTGGCCGGGGGCGGTGCTTGGAGGTTCCTACGATGCTGCTGGCGCCTAGTGTGAGGTTCCGCGCCTCTGCTGTTCGCCCCGTGGACCCTAGAGCCGGGCTGCGCACCGCCGTCCTATCCGCACGCCCCTTCCCGCACCGACCTGCCTGGTAGGTGGCGGCGGGGGTCCCGGGAGGGCGGGCTCCTGGTGGGGCTGGGGGGCAGGGACCAAGGGCCTGGTGGGGCTGGGGGGCAGGGGCCAAGGGCTGCTGGGGGTAGGGGATGAGATTGAAGGCCCCGAACCCTTCTCGTTGGAAGGACTCGTTCTTTCCTCTGGGCGCCCCAAAGGCTCGGGGCAGCAAGCTGGGCCCGCGAGTCCACGTAGCCGGCTCAGCCCGCTATCGCCATGTCACCCTTACAGAATGGGTTCAGAGTCGCGTACCCGACCGGGAAGAGCTCTGGGAACGCACCGGGCGGGGAGCGGGATTGAGAGGCAGGGTAAGTGGGAGTAACAGAAGAAGCAGGATCCGTCTCCACGCAATCTGCTTTTTCGGTTTTCCTTTCCCACTTTTCCCGCTTCGGTCATTACCGGCTGTCTGATAGCCCCTGGCTTCAAGTTCTGCCCTAGCCCGGGTCTGGTTCCCTTGAGTCTAGAGCATGATGTTGGAAGGCAGCTTGTCCTGGGTGAACTTGGACTACTCCTTCCCATTCTTAAAGCTTCAGTTGTCTCATCCTCGTAGGGTGACACCGGGGCGGTTCTCTGAATGACTTCTGCAGTCTCTCTGTCAATCACTGAGCGTCTTTCCCCTGGAGCAGGTGTCCTGCTAGTACAGTGGCAGCTTTGAGGTAGCCTATGCTCATTTAGAATCTCATTAGCCCGGGAATAGCTGAGTGTCTTTGGGCAATCACCTCACTTTTCTGTGCCTTGGTTTCCACATTGGGAAAATTGGGCAGCTGTCATCTGAGCGTGAGGCCTCCTCTGACCACTGTGTTTCAGTATGTGTTTCACCAGCTCCCTCATCCTTCTGCGCTTGTTTTACAAGTTGATTGATTGTTTGTTTCCCCTACTAGGGACATAAGTACTATGAATGCAGTGATTTTTGTTTGTCTTAGACACTGCTGTATTCCCAGGTCTAAAACAGTGCCTTGAATGTGGTACTTAAAAAATAATTAGGGAATGGTACTTGAATAGGAACAGGTGGTGTTTGTGGTGCCTGTGGTTCCAAAGTGAGTGAGTGGCAGGCAGCCTTCTTACCCAAGACTGTGCCTCCTCCTTTCCTACCCCAAATCCCTTTTTCTTTTTTTTTTTTTAAGATTTTATTTTTAAATAATCTCTACACCCAGTGTGGAGCTTGAACTTACAACCTCAGGATCAAGAGTTGCATGCTCCACTGACTGAGCCAATCAGGCAGGCCCCTTCTTCTGTTCTGAGGACAGAAGTCAGAGAGGGAGAGAAACTGCAGAAGTTTACAACTCCCCTGACTGCCTGGGCTTCCTTAACCAGACACCTTCCCGGGGTCCAGGATGGGGTGTGTTGAAAGGGAATAGTAATGACCAGCCCCTTTCCCCAGGCATAATGCCTCACCCAGTTCTTTCTCCCTATAGCAAGGAGGGGACTTCCTTATTTCTGTTTTACAGGTGAAAAAACTGAGGCTCAGAGAAGCTGAGCACTTTGCCCCAGGGCCCACAGACAGAGGCCTGTGGGCAGAGCTCGGGCTCTAGCCCAGAGTTCTAGACACTGACCCCTGTGCGCTAAGCGTCCTTACATTGCCAGTATTATCTCTTTTCCTCTCTTCTGCCATCCCACGGTGTTTATTGTGTGTCTGGTGGTCACAGGCCCTGGGCTGAAACTGGGGCTCCAGGGCTCCCCAAAGCTGGATTCTTGGTATTTGGAGGCCATGCCATGTCAGGAAGTTGCTGTTTACCTGCACTCTTTATTTTATACAACCGAGCTCTGGATCTCACCTCTCTCTGGGTTGCTTTCCTAGCTCTAGGATCTTGGATATGGATCTTCTTCAGTTCCTCTTTGTCCTGCTATTGTCTGGGACGGGAGTCCCAGACACCCTGAAGACCTCCCTGGACCCGAGCCTGCAGATCTGTATCCTTTGGGGTGGAGGTGGGGTAATAAGCTGTTTCTGAGGGGGTCTATAAACAGTCTTTCTGTACCCACAACCCCTTGGATTCCAGGGTTGGAGCAGACCCAGACTGTGAGAACAGGGGAGAAAAGGTGAGGTGCTATAACCAAACCTTGATCAAGTCAATTCTCTTCTGATCCTTAGTTTCCCCATATGTTAAATGGAGAAGGCAAGGCATACTTCTCAGAGCCACAAGGGCTCTGAGGATTGTGCATGTGCTTTGCATCTTGTGGGTGAGACCCTGGGTGGAGACTCAGGCCTTGGCATACTGGGCTGCCTGCTCTGGGCCAGACCTTAGGGACACAAAGAAGAGTTAGGACCAGTCAGTCCCTGGCTTTGAGGAACTCACAGACCTCACGCTGTACTCTGTAGTCAGCACTTTAATGAACCATGGCTGGGGAAGAGGGGTTAGGGAGAAACATGGTGCTGTGGCTTTTGAACTGGGTCTTGAAAGAACAGAAACTCATGGAGAATGGGGGGGCGGTGGCATCCCAGGTGACGTGTACAGTGTAAGCAGAGGAGTGGAGGTTCTGGGAATAGTGAATGGTTGCAGCAAGTAGCAGGAAGACCATGGGGAGGGGAGGGCAGGACCCAGGTCCTGAGGGTTGTGTTCAGGTGTTGGATATAGAATCCTATGTGAAATGGACGGAGGATAGGTTGCAGGATGCCCATGCCTCTCAGTTTGTTTCTTCCCTGGAGGTGTGGGGAGAGGGGGAGTGTCTCAGCCATGGGCATCTGTGGCCCTTGCAGATACTTGCTGGTTGGGAATGGGCCCTCTGGACTGGGGCCACTGGATTGTCCAGGCAGGAGTATGGGTGCCAGCCCCTTAACTTCATGCTGCTCAGACAAGAAGATGTTTGAGGTGAAACGGCGAGAACAGCTGCTGGCCCTGAAAAACCTAGCACACCTAAACGATGTCCACCAGCAGTACAAGATTCTTGATGTCATGCTCAAGGGGCTCTTTAAGGTGTGTGTGGGTGTGGGGCAGCTCACAGCAGGCCCAGTCTTCGATCTGGGCACTGACGGATGGGTAGGAGTTCCCTAAAGGGCTGGTGTTCAATGAGGGGAACTATATGCACAAAAGATTGGAAATAGGTTTTAAATAAATAGGACCATCTGTGAAGGGCTCTGCAAAGCCACTCAGCCTGGGTGGGGTTCCCTCAGGTGCTGGAGGACTCGCGGACAGTGCTCATTGCTGCAGATGTGCTCCCAGATGGGCCCTTCCCCCAGGACGAGAAACTGAAGGATGGTATGGTCTTCCCATCTTCCCCTTTCCTCTTCCCCACCACCTTGATCTTCTCTAGCTGCTCCTTCCCTCCTATTCTTCTCGCTCTCTTTTTCTCTGGAAGTATCCTCTTATAACACCTTCCAAGTGGTCCCCTTGGGCGTATGGATACTTAATCCGTATTTCTCTGGGCATTTTCTGGGCTTCAGAGCCAGTTTCTGGGCCCCTGGCATGGATATTTCCTTTGCACTGTACTGTGGCTGGGGCAAGCGAAACAGGGAGAGACCTCTACCCGCGACCCTATCTCAGGATTCTTGCCCTTTCTATCATCCTGACCCTTGTAGAGGAGGCAAGGGTTGGTCCCATTTATAGGAGAAAAAAACTGAGCTCTGTTGAAGAGACTGGCCAGTGGGGGCAGTTAAGAGTGCTCTTTACTACTGTTTTTTTGTTTTTTTTTTTTAAGATTTTATTTATTTATTTATTTGAGAGAGCGAGAAAGAGAGAGAGCACATGAGAGGGGGGAGGGTCAGAGGGAGAAGCAGACTCCCCGCCGAGCGGGGAGCCCGATGCGGGACTCGATCCCGGGACTCCAGGATCATGACCTGCGCCGAAGGCAGTTGCTGAACCAACTGAGCCACCCAGGCGCCCCTTACTACTGTTTTAAAGCCCTAACCCCCTTAAATCCTTTCTGAGACAAGGTGGGAAGAACAGATAAGTAAGATAATGTTCTGTGTGTCCGTTCATCCCCTCTTCCAAGAATTGTTCTCCTGTGGTAATTCCCCCTCTCTCCGGTTAACTGGTTATATTCTAACAATAAAACTTGTTAGGTTACCCTGTCTGAGAGAGGATGAAAATAGCGCTTATATATTAAATGATGGGTACTTTACAAACACCATCTCAAATCTCCGCTCTGAGGAAGGCACTGTTGCCTCCGTTTTCCAGATAAAAGAGGACAAGTGGTTTGCTCTTGCTAACCTGTAAACCAGGCTAACTCCTGAGTTCTTTGAGGTTCGAGATTGTTCTGAAACCCAGAGCTCCCTATTCCACTTGTCTTGGACCCAACCTGACATATCTTTGGAGGAGTCCACTTATCTCTCAGTGTGGCCTGGCCAGTGCTGGTGAGGGTTGCCTGGGCCTTATCTGCAGGTACGGCTCAAACAGGGACTTCCAGTAGGGCTGGGTATGTAGTTCTATTTCATGATAGCCAAGGCCGGAAGGGGGGGCCTGCTGCCGTGATGGGCACACTAACTTAGTCTGAACTGATTTGTCAACTAGAGGAAGGACATTAGTAGGAAAATTGGTGAAATTCAGTTAAGGTCTAATGATTAGTATCGATGTTAATTCCCTTGTTTAGATAGTTGTACAATGGTTATGTAAGATGATAACATTAGGGAAAGCTAAGTGAAGGAATTTTATGATGTATGATGGAAGTCTAAAGTTATTTTACTATAAATCTCAAGAAGCATTTAAAATAAAGGGGCGCCTGGGTGGCTCAGTTGGTTAAGCATCTGCCTTTGGCCCAGATCATGATCCCAGGGTCCTGGGGTTGAGTCCCACATCGGGCTCCCTGCTTAGTGGGGAGTCTGCTTCTCCTCCCTCTGTCTGTCCCCCGAGCTCGTGCGTGTGCCTCTCTCTTGCTCTCTCAAATAAATAAATAAATAAATAAATAACTTTTTAAAAAGTAAAAATAAAATTGGAAAGATATTAAAAACAAAAAACAAACCCTAATGTGTTCCCTGGTCATCCTAATAGACCTGCTCCTCCCATACACTGCAGTTGTGTTAACAATGGAGCCTGGCTCTGGATAGTTTTTTGTTTTGTTTTGTTTTTTTAAGATTTTTATTTATTTATTTGACAGATGAGACATAGCGAGTGAGGGAACACAAGCAGGGGGAGTGGGAGAGGGAGAAGCAGGCTTCCCGCCGAGCAGGAAGCCTGATGCGGGGCTCGATTCCAGGACTCCGGGATCATGACCTGAGCTGAAGGCAGACGCTTAACCGACTGAGCCACCCAGGCGCCCCTGGCTCTGGATAGTTTGAGGCCAGGTTGGGGAAATCAGACCCAGCCAAGCCTCATGTGACACGTGTGTCTTCTTGTACAAAATGGCATCCACCTCTCTGGTCCCCACAACAAATGAGATACAGCATGGCCTTTGGAATTAAACCTGGGTTTGCAGCCCAGATTTGCCACTCAACAGCCATCTGAGCCTCAGTTTCCCATCTGTACAATGGGAATAGTAGCTATAGCTCCCTTGAGGTGGTTTTGAGGATTCAGTGATCCGGTGGACATAAAGCCATTAACATGCACTGCACACGTGGTCAGCACCTGTGGAGAGCGGGCACAGTTCCCTTCTCTCATTAGTAGGCTTAGTGGGCTCTGAAGGGTGGCTGGGGCTGGCCAGGCGGGCAGTAGAAGGGCATCTGCCCAGGCCACTCATCAGGATCCTCTCGCCAGCTTTCTCCCAAGTAGTGGAGAACACGGCCTTCTTCGGTGATGTGGTGCTGCGCTTCCCGAGGATTGTGCACCACTACTTTGACCACAATTCCAACTGGAACCTCCTCATCCGCTGGGGCATCAGCTTCTGCAACCAGTCGGGCGTGTTTGACCAGGGGCCCCACTCACCCATCCTTGGCCTGGTAAGGACTGACTGGGGCAGAGGAGGATCAGGAGCCCTCTGCCTGGTGGTGTATCATGAACCTTGCATCTGCCTTCATTTGGGCCTGAATGTCAGCCCTTGGTTGTGTTTTCTGTGATAAGCCTCAGGGCACCTTGAGATCCCGTCTGTGCTGACCTGGGTCCCTAGGGGTCATCACCTGTTCCACATCTGCCTAAGCCTTGGGCCTGGGTCCCACCATGGAGAGAGTGGCCGTGGGTAAGGAGTCAGAAGAAGGCAGACAATGACTAACTTTTCCTCGTCCACAGATGGCCCAGGAGCTGGGGATCAGCGAGAAAGACTCTGACTTCCAGAACCCATTTAAAGTAGACCGCCCAGAGGTAAGCTGCTGGGGCCTATGGCCATGTCTACTCTGCCTCTGCTGGGTCATGGGAAGCCAGGTCATATAGAGGCTGGGGCACCGTGAATGGAGTGTGAGGGCTTTTGACTTGGAGCCAGACATGCTTGGGTCTGGATGCACGTATCATCACTTGCTCCTTGGTGCCTTTGGGCAAGCCACTGCCCCTGTCTTAGCCTCAGGCTCCCTATCTTTTCATGGGGTATGGACCCCAGCTGTGGGGGGGCAGTCAGAGGCTGTGAACACACCCATCCCGATGTACACTAGGCATCCAACATCAAGTGGATGCCGGGGAGGTCAGGCCATGTTTCTCTGCCCTTGAGCCGCTGAGTGCTCAGCCAGGCTTCTGTCTCATATTCCTGCAGGGAATATGAGACAGAATATTCCTGCATATGCTTTCATCCTAGGGGACTGAGATGGGCTCTGAAGGCTGAAGGCTGCAGGGTAGGGTGACAGATGGGGACACACACAGTGGGTCGGGGGGGATTCAGAGGTGGCAGGGCAGGGCGGCAGGGGCAGGAAAGGCTGGAGGACTGGACTTGACAAATCCCAGGTTCTCCTCTGGTATAGGGAGGAGTGTCAGGGTCCGTGAGGGGTCTAGGATTTTAGCTTGCTACTGTTTCGTGGATGCTGACAGGTCAGAGACATCAGAGTTTATTACAACAAAAGCAATATCCAGACTGTTGGCCTGGTCATGTGGGTTCCCCATATTCCCCAAGTCACCCAGGGATGACCCAGAGGGGCCCACGCAGATGCCGTGCATGCAGTGGGTTTGCATGAAGCTGTGAATATCACAGCCTTTATAGTCAACAGAAGCAAACCTGCTCTTTGGGGGCAGTCGTCATGTCACCCTTCCCGGTTGTTCTCTGCAAGCTGTCCTGACAAATGGCCCAGACAGAGGTGATCAGGGCTTTGCTTTCTTGGTGTACCCAGTGAGAACATTCAGGGATGCTCAGGACTGTGGTTGATTGCCTCCCCCACAGTTCACCCCTCAGCCCTCTTGGCTTAACTTAAATTTCCACATGAATGTGTTGTTCAGTCTGATTGGTCTGATAGGTAGAGGCTAGGATCACATATGTTCAGTTTGTCTCATACTGCCATTTGATTAAGGCTGCCATCAGCAGGACTCTAAGCAGCAGGATGAAGCCAACCTGCAGTTTTGATCTCAATCCTCCAGCATGGCAGACTCAGCCAGCCATGATAAGTCCTGGGCGGGCCAGTAGGTCTTATATTAGATAATCAGAATGTGGTCTGAGGCCAATCAGTCACCCATTACCGTCCATGCAAGAGTTTAGACTGACCTGCTGATCTTTGATGTCATTGTCAATAATTACAGGGAGCAATAGATGGACCCAAAGCAGTCCTCATCCCCAGTAAAGGGACATTTCTTTTTTCTTTGAGAGAGTGTGTGCACATGCATATGCTAGTGGGCGGGGGCGGGGCAGGCAGAGGGAGAGAGAGAGAGAAAGAATCTGAAGAAGGCTCCACGCCTAGCATGGAGCCTGACATGGGACTCAGGGCTCCATCTCACACCCCTGAGATCAAGAGCTGAGCCAAAATCAGGAGTTGGTTGCTTAACTGACTGAGCCACCCAGGCACCCCAGTAAAGAGACGTTTCATGGCCCACTGTTTCCCACATGTTACTACTTGATTGGAGTCACCATTATATTATCGGCCTGAGCCCTGAGGGCAATGTCCCTATGGAGTTGCAGCCTCAGTTGCCCTACTTGGCATAATGGAAGGTCACTTAGGCATCAGGAGAAGCAGATGCATTTGTATCTGTCAGATTAAAACGGTCGTACTGCTGCGTGTGTCTGCACAGGGTCACTTCGGGAGCTGCTTTTGATGGCATCAAGCACATTAGAGTAGTTCACTACCAACCATGTCCGTGTGAGTTTTTCTATCACAAGGTTGAGAGTGACGCACCCAACAGCTGATCAGATTGTCAGCTGCAGCTGCCACTTGGCTTGGGCAGATCCTAGGATTGTTTGCCAAGCGGCGGTGCTGGATCTAAGAGACCCAGATTAATTGTTCCCTCCCCAGATACTAAGATTATTGCTACAAAATCAGGGTGTCACATCCCAGGACCTATAATTCCACTTTTTCTCCAATCCTCCCCTACTCTCACCTGGACCTTTCTTTCATCCAGAAGGGTCAGATGTGAATGGGACAAGGGCATTTTTACACAACATTCAGAGACACATTGTATCTTCCATCTTGGGCCCCATGGGCCACTGTAGGGAGACTTGGAGGGAGCATATTCAACCAAGTGGTCATTATCCTAACGATCTCAGGTCATACCATCCCAACCAGGGACTCTAGGCAGTCAAGCCAGAAATACGGAGTCCTCTGCTCTGTGCCCATCCATGGTGGCAGGTATGTTGCCACATCTAGGGCAATGATGCATTTAGGTGGCAGTGCCAGTTAACTTGGCAGTGTAGTCTTGATCAGTGTTTTGATTCTGGTTGGTCTCATCAGAGAATGGGCCTTATGATGGGCATCGAAGCAAGTGACCTGGACTGTTAAACTCTCAACCAGTTTGTTTCCATAGTTTGCGGCCCCAGAGAAGAATGGTTGTCTTTGATCTGCCGGTCTATAGTCTTTTGAGTGGCAGGCCAGATGGCTAAGAGCTAATGACAGTCCGTAGAAATATAATGTGCATGGTGTTAAGAATATTATCTAGGCAAGGGTGGTGTGGCTTCTAATTCAGATCATTATCTTACTGGCCTTGATGGCAGTTAGTTTTCCAGCATTGTCACTGGGGCTGGATGGCTGCCGCCGCCAATAAACACCAGTGTCTAGCGTTCCCAAAAGCGTCCCCAGGTTTGATGAGGACTGAGTGTATAGTGCTCATGGCTGTAATTTATTACAGCGAAAGGATACAATGCAAAATCAGGACAGGGAAAAGGCTTATGGGGTGAAGTTTGAGGGAAACCAGGTGCAAGCCTCCACGAGTCTCTCCCAGTGGAGTCCCCCAGGAACATACTTCATTCCCCCAGCAACAAGATGTGACCTGTGAGAAGCTGTCTGTCAGGGAGGCTCATTAAAGACTCAGTGCCTAGAGTTTTTATTGGGAGCTGGTCACTTAAGCACCCTCTGCCCAGTGCATACCAGAATTCCAGACCCCCAGGAGAAAAGCAGGTGTTCAGCATAAACCACATTGGTTGCAAAGTTTAGGCTCAGTGAGCCACTCAGTACTTAGGGTGGTGGGAGCCCTCCCAAAATCCAAGTTTCCAGACACCAGCCAAGATCCAACCTTAGAAGCAGGTCTTTCAAAGGATAGCAGTCAGTCTGGCCATGTTAACTCTTCTGGACAGCATCATTAGCTCTTAATTTAGGTGAACAATCAGTGGACCAGGCGTGAGTATTTAGGGGAACCTCTGAATCAAGGGCTCCCTTGAACCAGTGGCTTTGCTTCAGGCAGCAGAATGGGAGATGTGGGTTTCCCTACTAGGGTTACTGTCACACCATCACATAACATCCCTCGAGGTTGCTTGCTTCCATTGCAACCCTGATAAATGGCCAGTATAAGAGCAGTCAGGGCATACCCAGCAAGAATATGCAAGGACACTTAAGGCCATGGCAGATTGCCTTTCCCGGCGAGGGGCACCCACCGAGATGCTTTATTGCTGTGACGCTGGCTCTCCTTGCCCTGTAGGTCATGAATGCCTCTGACACAGGAGGAGGGTGAGAGCATGCACCAGAGAGAATGGGTTCTAGGATAGATTTAGTTTGGTTTTGTCCTAGTGTGCTCTGCTTGGAAATAACCATAACAGCAACATCCTTGCCTTACTTCTCATTGGCTGGGGACAGTCTCAAGATTTGACTCACTGTTTGGCCTCCAGTGTGGACCTGTCCCACCAGCAGTAGTTCAGGTTTACTCAGCTCCCCACATGCACTCTCCACAATAGGGAGTGCTCTGGGAGTCCTCTCCTACTGCTTATGTACCCATCACTAGAACGAACTTGTATCAGGCTATATGCTGGCCACTGCCCCCATCCAGAGGGAGCTGGCCCTCTCCCTGCCCTTTATATGCTTACAGTCTGTTGGGGAAGGCAACAGGGAAACAGTCCTGATCTAGCGTGATCACTGCACCAGGGGAAGAGGGGAGTGTGAGTGTGGTGAGCCGTAGAACCCCTGACAGGGAACCTGACCCTGCCTCAGCAGGTGGGTGGTGGAGGCTCTGGGATAAGTAAGACTTGCCAGGTGGACCATCTTGGGGAAAACCTTCCAGGCAGAGGGACTAGTTGCACAAAGGCTCAGAGGCATAGCACATGCATTTATCATTCAGTGAGCATCTACTAAATCCCAGCCATGAGAGAAGCAGACTAGCCCTGCTCTCCTGGGAGATAGTCAGTAAAAAACATACAATATGGTAGGTGGTGAAAAAAAGCAGGGGAACGTGGTGAAGGATTCGGGGATAAGGTGGAGGTGCAATTGCTACTTCATGTGACTCAGACACAGAAGGTCTTATTGAAAAGACCTGAGCGAGGTGAGGGAGCCAGCCGTGTATCTGGGGGAAGAACATTCCAAGCTGAAGGAGCAGCAAGTGCAAAGGCCTGGAATCGGAAGCATATTTGGGGGAAGGGAGGACGTGAAAAGATAAGGTCAGAGTAGGCCAGATCACAAGACCCTTGGGGGGGCTCTTCTCAGGGCTTTGGCATTTACTCTGAGACACATAGAGAGCAGGGTGATGGGCTCTGACTACCCCCTTTAAAGGATCAGCCTGGCTGTTGGGTGGAGGGTAGTTTCGGGGGCCAGGGTGGGAAACAGGGACACTGATGAGGAGGCTCCTGTGCTTATCCATTTGGGAGTTCATGGTGGCTTAAACCACGGTGACAACAGTGAGGGTGGTGAGCTTCTGGTTGTTTAGAAGGTAGAGCCAGTAAGATTAGCTAAGGAAGCAGATGTGGCATGAGAGACTCATTAAGAAGGAGTAGAAGACTTTTGGCCTGCACACACGGAAGAATGGGGCTGCCGTTTTCTAAAATGGGCATACTGTGGGTGGGACCAGGTTGAGGCCTGGATTGGAGATCAAAACTTTGTTTCTGGACCTGGTGAGCATCTGAATGAAGATATCAAGGAGGCAATTGGAAATACGACTCTAGATTTGAGGTTGAAGCTGGGGCTGCAAATACGAGTCATGCCTGTGAAAGAAGGTACGGAGAGCCACGGCACAGGTCCTGTCCCATCACCCCAGGGCAGGTGAGTGTCAGGGCCGATAGAGCAGTGACCAGAGGGCTGAGGTCTGGGATGTGCCTGCAGGTAGAGGAGGGAGGATGGGGAGGAACCAGCAAAGAAGTCCCAGAGTGACAGTCAGTGAGAGAGTAGAAACGCAGGAGAGGATCGTTTCCCAGAGACCCTGTGAGGAAAGCATAGCAAAGAGGGAATGAGCGACTTGTAGAATCTGCTGGTTGGCTGAGGAACATGAGGCCTAAGAACCGGCCACTGGATTTAGGAACATGGACAATGGCCATCAGAGATCCTAGTAGAAGCTGTTTTGGTGGAGCAGTGGGGACAAAGATTGGATTTCAAGAGAATAAGAGGCAAGGAAATGGGCACAGCAAGTGCAGACTACCTTTGAAGAGCTTTCCTTTCAAGGGGAACAGACCAATGGGAGAATAGCTGGAGGGGGAGATTTTCATCAGGTGGGAGAGACTCAGCATGTTGGTGGGGACAGCGCATTAGGGAGGAAGAATTGATGGTGCAGGGGCGCGAGGGCTTCATCCCTGAGCAAGTAAGGCAGGGGAGAGTTGCTGGTGCCCAGGGGAAGGGTCGGCCTTGCCTCCAAGAGCAGCTTGGGCACAGAAGCAGCTGGGCTGGCGGGTGTGGAGGTGAGAGCTTGTGGAAGTTGTCTTGTGAGTGCTTCTGTCCTCTGCAGTGGTTTGTGGGGAAGGAGTGGAGCAGGGTTGGGGGCTTGAGAAGGTGTGTCTAGGAGAATGGCTGAGTGAGCGGGCCAGGGAGACATCCTGGATTGCCAGGCCGCATGAAGGGCCTGCTTGAGGGTAGCATCAGGAATTTAAAGTAGGCATTAGTTAGGCCTTGTGGGGAAGGGGTCTGGGAAAAGGAAAGGCAGTGTTTCTCTTCTGACTGAGCCAGGTTTGGGCTCTCCTGGTGAGGCTGAGCCAGCTGGGGTTGGAGGGCCCAGATCTTTTGACTTGCTCTACCCCAGCCAGAGCCACAGGGTCTGGGATCCTCTGTGACCAGGGGTTGGGGGGGTGGGGGTGTGCTTCCAGCTCCCAGCTGCTCATCCCTCCCAAGAGGATCAGAGTTAACTCATAGACACAAGAGGCAGAGTGTGGTAGGGGGAACACTGGCCGGGGAGGTGGAAGGCCTGGGGGTTAGTCCCAGTTGTACCTCCCACTTGCTGTGTGACTTAAGCATATCACCTACCCTTTCTGGGCCACACTTCTCTGATTTCACCCCATCTTCCCGTCTCATAGTTCAATCTAACATGGCAGGTAGATTGCTCCACAAGGTAGAACTTCTAGTTTGTTTTTAATGTCTACCTTGATGAAACATTTGTCACATTTGCCCTAAGAACAAATAAGATGGGCATATTTCACAGCATAGTTAACCTGAGTTTGGGGTACTATTACTGCATTTCATATTCTAACATGATTCAGTCGTTCATTTACAAAATACATACTGAGTGCCATCTATAAGCCAGGCAGGTCCTGTGCTAGGGAGTGATGGTACAGTGAGCAACACCTGACATGATCCTCCCGTCCTCAGAGAGTGTTCTCCAGTGGGGGCGACAGGCACGAAGCATGTGATCATGAGGGAGGGGCTAGCCCCAGCCCCAGCCAGGAATCAGGGCAGATCCCTGAGGGTGGAACTAACGTGGCTAAGGGCGCAGGGGCTGGAAAGAGCGTTCTGGGCCCGGACCACAGCACCTGTGGAGGCCTGGAAGTGGGAGCAACAAGGGAATCTGAGAACCCGAAGCGGGGAGTGTGAGGGAGGAGCAAAGCGGTGGGCGATGGGGGCCTGCAGATGCAGCATGTGGAACTTGATCCTGAAAGTAATGCAGAGTCACAGAAGGGTTTAAGCAGGAGTGTGACATGGTCAGATTTGCATTTTTGAAAAGAACTAACTGCAGTGAGGAGAATGGCTCGAGAGGGACCCAAGTGGGTGCAGAGAGCCTTGGAAGGCCCCGAGAGTCATTGGGAGGGAGGTGGAGGTGGTGATGGGGTTAGCGATAGGAGAGATGGAGAGACGTAGATGAATTTGAGAGAGACTTAGGAGTTACACTGAGCCAGGCCTTGGCCAAGGACTCGTGTGGAAGGAGAGAGGGGGCTGTGGAGCCCTGCTGTTCGCAAGGACAGGGACACTGGAAAAGGACTGTGTTTTGGGGAGATGGAGCCATGCCAAGTCTGGGGCTTGTTTGGGACATCTAGCGGCATTCAGATAATGGAGATGCAGATTTGAGCGGTAACTGACATCGACTCCTAACAGAAGCCATGGGTTTAGATGAGCCAGTCTGCAGACAGCAGAAGCCCTGGGCATTGCAGTTGAGGAATGCCTCCACTGAAGTCCTCCTCCCACCCTGGCTCGCCCTGTGTTCCTGTCTCCTCACCGGGACCACCATCCGTGCACCGTGGAAGCCATGAGCCTGGGCCCTACCGTCTTCTTTTCCACCTCTTTTTCAGGTTCTGCCAGTTTGACCTCTGACCCACTGCTTCCTGTGGGTGTACGCCGTTGCCTGGGCTTATCTGTGGCTTGTTCGCAAGCAGCGGGATGCCTGTGGTCTCTTGTGCTCACTGGCTGCCCTCCCCTCCTCAGGGGTGTGGCACAGGTGGGGGGCGGGTGTCTATGGTTGTCTTGGGCACTCAGCCCCCTCACCCTGAGAGGAGGAGCCCCATGCAGGTTCACACCCCAGCCCGTGCCCCTCTGCCTGGAATGTCCTTTTCTTCCCTCACCCTGTTTGCTTGGTGAGCTCCTGGTTATCTTTCAGGACCCTCTGAGCAGCTTCCCCCAGGCTCATTGAACCATCTTGTCTGCGGGCTCCCTGAGGGTAGGGCCTGTGTCTAGGCAATCTCCCCGCCGCCACAAGCCCACAGCAGCCTAACTCAGAGCAAACTCTTTGCTGCTGGCAGACTAAACCAGACTGCTCTGTTCTTCTCTCAGTTTATTTCCAGCACTGACCCTTTCCAGAAGGCCCTGAGGGAGGAGGAGAAGCGCAGGAAGAAAGAGGAGAAGCGGAAAGAGATCCGAAAGGGCCCACGGATCTCAAGATCCCAGTCGGAGTTATAGCCGGGAACAGCCCAGGGCTCAAGGGGCCAGGAGGAGACAAGTCTGGAGGAAGAGGCCGAAGCATCGACTGGTGGTGAGAGCTGGCCCCTGTGAAAGGGGAAGTGGCATTTGCTCAGCCCCTTGGAGCCGGCTCTGCGCCGTAACAGAAGTGACTGGGCCACAGAGGACTGAATTTCCTTCCAGGGTCCTCCCTGGAGAGGGTGCCAAGGGGGTCTTCAGAGGATGCCATGCTGCAGATCAAACCATGTCGAGATGCTGGGCGAGGCTGGAAGGATCCCAGGCTGGACTCTCCCTTTGGGTTAGGACTGCTGGCCAGCTGGCTGCTGCCCTTCATGAGGAGGGAGCAGAATTGGGCTCTGAGCCACTTGTGGAAGTGCCGTGCCTGCTGCTGGCCCCACTGTGGCACTGAGCTGCCCAGCACAGGTCCCAGCGCCCTGCAAAGACACAGTAAAAGCCAGCAAACCCTCTGGGCTAATGGAGGCCAGTTTGGGCCCCAGGGAGCTGTGAGCCCTTTCATGGGGCAGGGGCCTGGCAAGGCAGTGAAGCAGGGCCCTGGCTTAGGTCTCCTAGTCCTTTCTTAGCACTGTCCTTCATGAAGGAGTGTCCAAACGTGTTCAGCCAAAGACCGTAGAGCAGCATGATCTCTGTCCCATCAGATATTGGGGGTAGTCCCTGAACAGGTGCAGGGTAGAATCAACGTGTCATCTCTGGCAACCCCAGGAGACCCTTGGCCTGTGGGTAGGGGATAGGCTCTAGCTCTGCAGGAGGCTGTGCTTTGTAATGGCAGGGCTGCCCCAAGCTGGACTGGTCAGAGAGCTCCCCATGGCAGAGACCAGGGGCCACAGAGCAGGGAAGCTGCCAAGGGAATTAGGCCCTGCATGGGCAGCTACCCTTTAATCGTGTCCCTCCCGGGCAGAGGAGGGAGGGGCTGCGGTGGGAATTCCAGTTCAGTCTCTTTGACCTTGCCAAGCTAGGTCTGTGTCTTAAAAGGGGAGAGACATCTGACCATCCCGGAACCCTGCAGCCCCCCATACTGACAGAGTCCAAGAGAGACGGGAGTCTTGTCTCAGCCCCTCAGACTTGCTGAGTGACTCTGGCCCAGCCCTTCCCTGTGCTGTGGCTTCACTGACAAAATGAATCTGATAATGTCTGAACCCTCTGCCCAGCCCTAAACTGCTTCTCTGAGGCTGGGGCCTGCTTCTCAGTGACAGATGCCCTTCTCTGATGGTTCTTCTATCATCCTTTAGGTTTGCCGAGCATCCCTGTGTGCCCAACTAAAGAGAGGGGCCCAGTCTTAACCCATCTTCACCTCTGTCCCATCTGGCTCCTCTATCCTCCTAGGCTCTTCCTTCTACACCTTCAGCCTCTCCATCTTGGTTGATTCCTTCCTCTCCATCCTCAAATGGGCCCAAGTTTTCCCATCTGACACCTTCAAAGAAAGAAACAGAACCGCTCTGCTCTCCCTCTCTCCTTCCCTTTGATGCCATTGTTGTGGTTATTAGATCCTGGAACTCTGTCTTACGTCTTACTGCAGGCAGAGTTTTCCCACTTCCTCGGCAGGAGGTGTAACGGCCCGAGGGCATTTGTTTGTTTGTCAAGCTTCCTCGCAGCCAGGATTCAGTCCTGTGAGCCCTGTGCCATCAACCAGATGTACCAGCCTGTGCGGGAGTTGCGCCGGTAGAGGTAGTGGCTGCTGGGACCAGAGGTAGCAGTGGGGCAGGGGATGGGGGCGGTTCTAATGACCAGACTAGACTAACACCAGGGGTGCCCAGTGGTGGCGACAGTGATGTCTTCAGTGGTGTTTTCAGCATCTTCTTGGATACTGTTCCCGTTTGCTGAGCTTCCACGTCCAATCTGAGGCACCCCTGGAGAGTCTGGGAGCTCCCCTGTATCCTCAGAGGCAGGGGTTTTCAACCCTGGCACTATTTACATTTAGGGCCAGATAATTCTTTGTTGTGTATATAAGGATGGCTGTCCTGTGTGTTGTAGGATATCAGTAGCATTCTTAGCTTCTGCCCACCCGATGCTGGTAGCAGTCTCTAGACATTACTAGATGACCCCAGGGGCAAAATCTCCCTGGTCCACAGCCCTTGTCCCTCCTTACCCCAGCCCCACATCTTCCTCTCCTGTCCCGTCACTGCCCCCCGAGAAATGTTGTTGGAAGCTCTCTGAGATGATCTTTCCAGGCTTCTGGGCTGCTTTGTTGTCCTGGTTCTCTGTACTCAGTCTGAGTCAGCTCTGTCTCTTCCTGATTCCTCCTTTCCTCACCTGCCCCTTAAACGAAGCTTTTTTTTTTTTAAGATTTTATTTATTTATTTGAGGGAGAGCACAAGAGCATGAGCAGAGGGAGGAGCAGAGGGAGAAGCAGACTCCCCGCTGAGCAGGGAGCCCACCATGTGTGGAGTGGGTGGGGGGGTCAGGGGGGTGGGGGTCAGGGGGGCAATCCCAGGACCCTGAGATGAGATCGTGACCTGAGCTTAAGGCAGACGCTTAACCGACTGAGCCACCCAGGTGCCCCCAAAGCATTTTTTTTTTTAAGCCTAGTCTCTCCTCTCTGCTCTTTTCTTCTTGGCAGCTGCATCCTCTGAGACCCCAAAGCTGATGGCACCTGCCCTCTTGCCACTGATAACCCTCAGTCCTTATGTTTCAGCTTATCCAAAAGCAAACTTGTTTCCCATCCCCAAGCTTAATCTCCGTGGAAACCGTGGGGTACACGTTCTTGCCTAATCCTGGAGGAAGTGACAACTAAATCCTGCAAGATTGGGGGAGGGAGAAGGTGACAGGCACTGTGAGCAGAGGCCTAAAAAGGGAGGCATCAAAGGTAGTAAATGAAAAAAAGCATATTCAGAGCTCACTTCTCTGACCTGTAGTAATTGCCCAATCTGTGGTAGATCTCTGGATATGTGGTTGTCTGGTCCCTCCCTTTCCAGGTGAAGAACCCAGGTCCCGAGGAGTGACTTGTCTAAGGCTGCTCCAGCCCTGAGAGCCAGTCTGTGTTCTCCCAGCCGGAGCAAGGTGCCAACTGGAAGAGATGTTTAGTGAGTTGGGATCCAGGGCCATAGGGAGAATGCCAGTGTTTTGCTGAGGCTGGATGTGGCGCAGCTAGCTTTCTTCTGCAGTTTCTACTGAGCCTTCGTTTGTGCCCCTTCAGGCCACTTTGTTAGCACCGCAGCCTCTGGGCAGGTCCAGAGGGGAGTTGTGGGGAGAGGTGCTGTGCCCACTTACCTGACCTGCTGCTCAGGCAGCCCTCTGCAGGGGGTTACTGAGGCTCTGGGTTGGGAGAGCGCTGGACCAAAGTGAGTTACGGTAGGCCAGCAGACAGTCACCCCTCAGTGTGGGGAGCCCTGTGAGAGGCACAGTCGAAGGTGGCACTGCCCAAGTCAACGCCTGGTTCCAAGCAGAGCAGCAGGGTTTGGTTTTGTTTCAGGGTGAGACTAGTGGATGTAGTCTGCATGTAAACAACGAAGAAACATTGTTCTTTTTCCCCCCAAAATAAGTCAGTTTTTCTTATACATGTTCATTATAAGAAGTAATTTAAGCAATACCAAAATACCAAGAAGAAAATAAAATTCACCCTAAATCCAACCACTCCGTAATCATGACTGACACTCAGCTGTTGGGCCTTCCAGCCTTTTGGCACTTAATGTGAACACACAGATCCCTATTTTTTCAGTTACCATAGCTATTGTGTATGGGCACATCCTATATGTCAGGCCTTATGCCAAGTGCTGGCTGGCAGCAGCTCCTCCTGCCTCAGGGCCTTTGTCCGTATCATCTCTTCCCCTGGCTACACCAGACATGATTCTTCAGAATTTTAGGTTTCATCTTAAATGTCAGAGTCCTTTGTTAGTTGCATCACACCCAGTACTTTCCCTTGATTACTGGTACCATTGTCTGCTTTTTACCTTTGTTTAATGTCTGTTCTCTTCACTCCTGGAAGCTCTCAGAGGGCAGGAACTGCCTCTTTTTTGCCTGTCAGAGATGTTTAATAAATACTGTCAAATGAATGTGCAAATGATTTCATTTAATCTTCAAAACTCTGAGAGGGCATTATTTTCCCTGCATTTTAGAGATTTTAAAACTGAGGCTTAGAGCAGTTACTCGGGCAGCGCGAGGTCACACTGCCTAAGTGGATCCATGTCTGGCTCCACGTGGCCTGTGTGCTCTCTCTTAGGAAACATACGGTCCCTTTTTAACAGTATTGTGAGAGTCGTCAATAGACATTTATGTACCTAATCTTTAATGATGCCATGGCATCCCATTGTGTGTATGTAATTTGTTCATCCACTCCTTTACTGGGCTTCCCAATTTGTCCCAGTTACGGAGGACTTTGTGGTGAACGTCTCCGAACTTGCCATATTTGCGCACTTGTTTGAGCGCTCATACTTTGATTCTACAGGATAAATTCCTATTAGTCTGCACATTTGTTTACATCGTGACCAGCTGCAAGATGGGGCAAGGAGGTGCTTGAAGGCGTGGGTATCTGCGGGCGGGATGCGCGTTAGAATCTCTGCGGCACTGTGAAAATGCTCCTGCCCGGGTCACACACACCCCAGGAGGCCTGTGGTGGTCTCGGGCACTAGCATTGCTTTTAAAAAGTCTGCAGGCCGTTCTGAGGTACCCCAGGTGAGGACCGTCGGAGTTGGCGCGTGGTTGCGACAGGTGCAAAGGCGGAGAGGTTGTAAAATGCACTCCGCCCTCGGGACAGTTCGCGGCCTGCGCCGAGCCTCCATTTCTGCCTTTGTAAGGGGCTTGCGAGGAACGCGACTTGAAGGATCCAGATTCCTCCGGGCCCCAGTGTTGGGGGGCCAGGTTTGATTCTACCCGCTCTCCCAGGCAGGCCGGGCGGGGGAGCAGCTGGGAAGATGACGTAATGTGCTCACAGCTCGCTCCGGGGGCGACCAGCGAGCGGGGGCGGAGAGCGTTAACCCTTCAACCCCCAGCCGGTGGATGGAATAGCTTGTAGAAGCCGACCCAACGGAAAAAGGAGCGGCGCCTTTAAGCCTGGGGAGGAAGGTTGGGCTGAGGACCCGGAGGCCTCTCTTCGCATTCGCTAAGAGCCCGCGAGGGGTGGGGCCTTGCTATGCAAATCTAAGCTGCTGATCGATGACGCGCCATCACCCCACGCGCCGCTTCGCGCGCTGATTGGTCACGAAGAGCCTGGTCCCATTGACAACAAACAAGGGGGCGCGCGGCCTGAGGGCGGGGCCGCAGGGGGCGCGGGTTGGGGCGGGGTAATCCCGCCCCGCCCCTCCCGCGCGGCGCAAACATGGCGGAAGCTGGCACCGGCCGGTGAGGCGGTACCGGGAGGAGGCTGTCGGGTGTCATGGGCGGTGGCGGCGGCACCGCCCCCGCGTCTCCCTGAGCGGGACGGTAGGGCGGCCTTCGAGCCGAGCCCGGCGATGGACGAGAGCGGCGAGCTGGGCGGTCTGGAGACCATGGAGACGCTCACAGAGCTGGGCGACGA